AGGCCTCCCTGTGAGAGTTGTCGAGTTGTTGAAGGTTTATCTGTGCCCTCCGGGGTCACCTGAATCGGGGTGCAAATGGGCGTGGAGCCTTCTTGGATAAATCTCCAAGTAGCCTCCACGACTCTCAGAGGGAGCACGAACGCCCAGATGACTGCAAGGAATATACCGCAAATCCTTCCATCCTCCACCCTTGAGTCAGAACTGAAGAAGCTTCTTGGACGAGAAGCAAAACGTTTTCAAGGAAAAACAAAATCCAGTTGCCTAGTAGTAGTAGTAGTAGTAGTAGTAGTAGTAGTAGTAGTAGTAATAATGATAATAATAATAATAATAAAGTTGGAAGGGAACTTGGGGGTCATCTAGTCCAACCCCCTGCTCAGGCAGGAAACCCTATACCAGTGGTTCTCAACCTTTTTAATGCTGTGACCCCCAACCGGTCGTAAGTCGAGGACTACTCAACCGGTCGTAAGTCGAGGACTACTCAACTGGTGCAGCACCGTTTGCAGAATGGGACTTTTGGCGGGCTCAGCAGGGCAGAGACAGCCTGGACAATTCCTATTGGCTTTTGAAAGCCAATAGAATTGCACTCTATTCAAGAGAGTCTGTTCTATTGGCTTTCCAAAGCCAATAGAATAAAAGGGAGTAGCACAGCTAAGGAAAAGGGGAGAAAAAATGGCGGACTGCGTTGTTTGGCGACCCCCGTGAAATGGTCGTTCGACCCCAAATGGGGTCCCAACCCACAGGTTGAGAACCACTGGCCTATACCATTTCAGACAAATGGCTGTCCAGTCTCTTCTTAAAAACTTCCAGTGTTGGAGCATTCACCGCTTCTGGTGGCAGGTGGTTCCACTGGTTAATTGTTCCAACTGTCAGGAAGTTGTGGGTGCTTCATCACTGGGAGGTTTTTAAAAAGAGATTCCTGTAACTCTTCTATGTTTTAACCGTCACCTGTGCAAACAACACGTCGCTCTCATGTGCAGATCAGCGTGAAGACACGGTTCCCGTTATGCCCGCAGTTTGGGAGAGCCAGACCCTTGCCAGAGGAAACTGTGCTGCGAAGAATAGCCGCAAACTAGGAATTCTCGTCTTTGAGGTGTGGCTGTGTGCCCCTCCGTCGTTCTCTTTCCTTGTTGGCCTTTCTTCTCCTCCAGGAAGCTCCCCCGCAGAGGCTGTTGAGCCAGTCGGGGCACTTGAGGCTTTCAAGCAGCCTTTGTGTCCCTTCCTGATAAAGCAAGGAGAGCGTTTGCTTTCGCTCCAGCGGTTTCTGACGTTGGCATGGCGCAGGCTGGGCGAGGCTGGGCATTTTCTCTGTAGGGGACGCGAAGGCAGCCTTGTGCCTGCTTTGGCCGGCCTCAAACCATTTGCTCTTCCCAACCAGCCTCTCCGTCATCCCCCCCCCCCGGCTCCCCCCTTTTGTAGAAGACATGAAACAGTTGACAGGGTGGTTCATAAGCCAACATCTAAAGCTCTTCCACTGATGGATCGTTCTCACTGTCGGGAAATTCCTCCTTAGTTCCAGGTTGCTTCTCTCCTTGGCTAGTTGCCCTCCGTTGCTTCTTGTCCCGCCTGCTTCAGGGGCTTTGGAAAATAGCTTGACTCCCTCTTCTTTGGGGCAGCCCCTGAGATACTGGAACCCTGCTATCATGTCCCCCCTCGTCCTTCTTTTTATTAAAGCAGACATATCCAATTCCTGCAACTGTTTTCCATATGGTTTTGTCACCAGGCCTTTAATCGTCTTAGTTGCTCTTCTCGGCACTTTTTCCAAAGTCTCAGCATCTTTTTTGTAACGTGGTGACCAAAACTGGATGCAGTATTGTAGGTGTGTGGCCTTACTAAGGTTCCCCGTGATGGATAAGGACAAATGTAGTAGAAGAATGCAACATAAACACCCATCATCATCATCATCATTATCATCACAATAATAAAGTTGGAAAGAACCTTGGAGGTCATCTAATCCAACCCCCTGCTCAGGCAGGTAACCCTATACCATTTAAGACAAATGGATGTCCAATCTCTTCTTGAAAACTTCCAATGTTGGAGCATTCACCACTTCTGGAGGCAGGTTGTTCCACTGGTTAATTGTTCTGTCAGGAAGTTTCTCCTTAGTTCTAGGTTGCTTCTCTCCTTGATTAGTTTCCATCCATTGCTTCTTGTCCTGCCTTCAGGTGCCTTGGAGAACAGCTTGACTGCCTCTTCTTTGGGGCAGCCCTTGAGATACTGGAACAATGCTATCATGTTCCCCCTCATCCTTCTCTTCATTAAACTAGACATACCGAATTCCAGCAACTGTTCCTTATAATGTTTTAGCCTCCAGTCCTCTAATCATCTTTGTTGCTCTTCTCTGCACTCTTTCCAAAGTCTCAGCATCTTTTTTACATCATGGTGACCAAAACTGGATGCCGTATTCCAAGTGTGGCCTTACCAAGGCCTTGTAAAGTGGTATTAACACTTCACGTGATCTTCATTCTATTCCTCTGTTACTTTAGGAAGGAATGTAGTGGTGTGTGGGAAAGTGTGGCTGCCTTGGGAATGGCCGGATAAGAGGGTGCACAGCTGCACAAGGGGTGGAGAAAGAGACCCTCTCGAAGTCAGCAGGTTGTAGGAATCTAGGAAGCCCCCACTGGCACTTGCACAACATCTGCTCCACAACTTTAATGTTGATTCCCAAAGGGAAGCCCAACGCCCAGACATAGGAAGATGTATAGAGCAGTGGTTCTCAACCTTTCTAATGCCGCGACCCCATAATACAGTTCCCCATGTTGTGGTGACCCCGAACCACTTATACATCACCGGCTGCCAGGGGCGTGGCCAAAGAAAAGGGGGAAAAATGGCGGACAGCCTTGTTTGGCGACCCGCGTGAAATGGTCGTTCGACCCCAAATAGGGTCCCGACCCACAGGTTGAGAACCACTGGTATAGATGATCCTATGCAACAAGGTGCCAGCTTTTGAACTATCTCTCCAACAATGGACAACCCTGAATAGGAGCAGGGGACTGGACTAGAAGACCTCCAAAGTCCCTTCCAACACTGTTATTCTATAGTGCTCTATGGAGTTGCATGTCCTATGGTGTCTGCTGGGATTCACTGTATAAACGGGATATAGCATCCTCCCCTTAGTGTGACTGTGGGGGGTCAAAGTGTAGATCATATTGTGATAACTGTAATCTCAGAGCATATACTGGGTCAGTATTTGATGTTTATTTTTTCAAATAAATGATGCTGTGCTTCAGTGGTTAAATGGCCAGGGGTCCCCAACCTTTTGGGTACCAGGGACCGGTTCCGTGGAGAGAGTTTTTTCCACAAACCGGAGAGTGTGTGGTTTTGTGTGCTGCCTGCATCCCACGGATGGGGCTTTGCTTGTTTGTGTGGACCGGTTGCTGGCATGCCGCAGCCTGGTATCGGTCCATAGACCGGGGGTGGGAGACCCCTGGCTTAGACATTAGTATCTGGATATAGATTCCATATATAGGGTCAACCTGTTCTCCAAAGCGCCTGAAGGCAGGACAAGAAGCAACAGGTGGAAACTAATCCAGGAGAGAAGCCACCTGGAACTAAGGAGAAACTTCCTGATTGTGAGAACAATGTAATCGGTGGAACAGAAGTTGCCTTCGGGAGTTGTGGGTGCTCCAACACTGGGCAAACATTTGTCTTGGGTGATACAAGATCTCCTGCTTGAGCAGGGGGTTGGACTAGAAGACCTCTAAGGTCCCTTCCAGCTGTTATTGTGTTAGATCTTCTTAAACATTCCTATTTTATTGGGTTTGTAATCTAGGTGAAATGTTAATGTACGTTGCAAGTCCACGTATGATACGCCATACTCTAAAGCAGTGTTTCCCAACCTTGACAATTTTAAGGCATGTGGACTTCAACTCCCAGAATTCCACAGCCAGCAATGCTGGCTGTGGAATTCTGGGAGTTGAAGTCCACATGCCTTAAAATGGTCCAGGTTGAGAAACACTGCTCTAAAGACAGTAAAGCGGGCTTTTTTTAGGGTGAGGGCGGGAGAATTGCGCTTGCAGACTTGCAACCAAGCGCAAGAGCAAATCCTAGAGCAAGCTCTTGCAAGCTCCGTTCTCGTGTGGCGCCCGAGGGCATCCACTTGCGACCATCTTCTGCAGCTTCAGCAGACGCAGCTGCCTGCAGCTTCCCTCCAGCCAGTCTTCCTTGCCCTGCTCCTGCGAGCGTGCCCACGGGTGACTCAGCCGGCTGAGCCCGTCGGAAGCACCTGTGCGGTCAGGAGGGGGGGGGGTGGGCGGCCTTCGCAGCCTCTGACTCATCCGGCCTCTTTGGGGTTTTGGCTCACTGGGCTGGTGGGGCATACGGCTTCCTCTCGGCCCGGCTGGGGGGGGGGGGGCTCCAGGGGCCGTGGGCGGGTGGGGGGTGCTGAGGAAAGGGGGGGGGGTCTGAGACATGAATAGAGGGAGGGCGCTTGCTGTGCGTCTTGGATTCCCCCCAGCAGTCTTTTCTGGCCATTTGTTCAGTGTGGTTTGCCCCGTTTTGCAATTTCCGGCCACATTTGTTAAACGAAACACAGCAGTTAGTAAGTTGCAACGGCCATGAAAACAGCGACTTATGACCATTTTGCAAGCTTAACGACCGTTTGTAGCTTCCCCAGGGTCCCGTGATCAAAATTCGGATGTTTGGCAACTGGCTCACATTTATGACGGTCGCGGTGTCCCCAGGTCACGTGATCCCCACCCGCGAACCTCTGACGAGCAAAGTCAGTGGGGAAGCCATATTTGCTGAGCAAGCAGGTTACTGACTGCACTGTGGCGATTCGCTTAAGGACAGTCATAAAACGGGGCCAAAACCCATGAATCAAATGTCTCACTTAGCCACAAAACCTTTGGGCTCAATTGTGGCCGTAACTGGAGGCCTACCTGTACAGAAATAAAATACTGTTAAAAATGCAAGTGCTCGGGCCTGGATTTGGGGGATCCCCCCCCTGACCCTTTTCCCGGGCGTTTCTCACTCTCCCCCCCTTTCTCCCCCCCCCTCCGCAGAGTTCTGCCGCATCGACCTTCCGCTGTGCCACAATGAGGACGAGCAGCTCAGCTTCGAAGCCGTCCGCAACATCCACAAGCAGATGGACGACGACGCAAACGGCAACGTGGACGTGGAGGAGAGCGATGAGGTGAGCGCTCCTGGGGGGGGGGCGGTCCTGCTCTGGCGGCCCCCGGCTGTCCCCCCCCCGGCCGCCTGGGTAACGCCATTTCGGGTGATGCTGGTGGGATGGGGACTTGTGGCCAGCTGAGTCCGGTGCCCCTGCCGAAGCCCCTCAGCCCCACCACAGACAGTCCTCGACTTTAGACCGTTCGAAATTACAATGGCACTGAAAAGTGTGACTGGTAACCATTTTTCACACTTACGACCGTTGCAGCGTCCCCCGTAGTCACGCGATCAAAATTCAGACGCATGGCGACCGACTTGTGTTTACGACGATCGCAGCGCCTTGGGGGGGTCACATGATCCCCTTTTGTGTCTCTCTGACAAGCAGAATCAATGGGGAGGGAAGCCAGATTCGCTTAACGACCGGTTGACCAATTTGACAACCGCAGCGATTCACTTAACAACTGTGGCAAGAAAGGTTGTGAAAAGGGACAAAACTCGCTTAATAAATGTCTCACTTAGCGACAGGTTCTGGGCTCACTTATGGTCGTAAGTCGAGGACAACCTGCAGTTTCTAAGCCATATCTTCTCCCTTTCTCCCAGTCTGATCAGCAATCCACAGTGTCCGAGGAAGGGGGGAGAATGAACTCTCTGGCTCAAGGCCAGCCTGAGGCAGGACCCTCCAGAATAGGACAGGGCAGAATGTAGAATATATAGAATATAAAATATAAAATAGACTAGACAAGGAATAGAATAGAATAGAATAGAATAGAATAGAATAGAATAGAATAGAATAATAATGGAATGGAATGGAATAGAATAGAATAATAATGGAATGGAATGGAATAGAATAGAATAGAATAGAATAATAATGGAATGGAATGGAATAGAATAGAATAATAATGGAATAGAATAGAATAGAATAGAATAGAATAGAATAGAATAGAATAGAATAGAATAGAATAGAATAGAATAGAATAATAATGGAATGGAATGGAATAGAATAGAATGGAATGGAATGGAATGGAATAGAATAATAATGGAATAGAATAGAATAGGAATAGAATAGGAATAGAATAGAATAGAATAATAATGGAATGGAATAGAATAGGATGGGATGGAGTGGAATGGAATGGAATAGAATAGAATAATAATGGCATGGAATGGAATGGAATAGAATAGAATAGAATAATAATGGCATGGAATGGAATGGAATAGAATAGAATAGAATAGAACAAAAAATAGAATAGAACAGAATATAGCATAGAATAAAATAGAATATAGAACAGAATGGAACAGAACAAAACATAACAGAATAGAATAGAATTCTTTATTGGCCAAATGTGATTGGACACATAAGGAATTTGTCTCCTGTGCAGAAGCTCTCAGTGTACATATAAACAGCAAGTAATCATTCATAGATCATAAACAATAGTTACAATCATTAATCATAAATTACAAACAACAATTGATAAATCCTAAGATACCAATAGGAGAAGCTGAAACAGTGCTGTGGGAATTTGGTGTTCAGCAGAGCGATGGCACAAGGGAAAGAAACTGTCTTTGTGCCTCGTTGTGTTGGCATGCAGTTGCCCTATAGCTCGTCCTGAGGGGAGGGGCTGACACAGTTTGTGTCCGGGATGGGAGAGATTCTGCTAGATATTTTCTCAGCCCCTCTTCCTGACCCGTGCACCATACAGGCCCTGGGTGGAAGGCAGGCTGGTGGCAACCGTTTTTCCTGCAGTCCTAGCTATCCGTTGAAGTCTGTCCCGGTCCTGGTTTGGTTGCTGGGCCAAACCAGACAATTGCAGAGTTTTTATAGATTCTTTCAGATTTCAGAATCTTGAAAATGGCAAAACACGGGCTATCTCTGCATAGACAGCTTGCCATTCCCAGCCCGGTGCTGGTGCTCGGCCCGGCCTGGCCTGCTGTGGTCTCAGCATGGAAAATGTTGACCTTTCTAAGCCGCCGGACAATCCTCTTCCGTCCTGCCACCTGCCACGTTCCCTTTCAGGAAGTTGTAATTCAGCTCCTCTTTCCGTCCAAAGCCTGGGAGAGCGTTCAAGGGGCATGCAGAAAACCAGTTCAGGCCAAGGGAATGCTTATTTATTTCGCAGCTCATGATTTCCCGCCTAAAGTTTCTTTTCTTTGCAAAATATGAACAGAGCAGCTTGAAAAATAACCACAGGTTCTCCTCTGAAGCTTCGGGGTTCACTGGCGCAAGGTGGGGGTGCTGCTTACCAACTGGGGTGTGAAGCTTAGGGGTTCCCTGGCACAAGATGGTGCTGTTTACCAAGTGGGGTGTCTTCCAAAGAGGATTAATTGGTGTCCAAGCAGGTGCCTTCAGAGGCACGCGCGCGCACACATACACACACACCCACACACACCGTTATCCAGGCTAAGAGCCACCGATCCCCACAGCTTCCACAAATTGCCCCACCTGGCAACATTAAGGCTTGAGGACTTCAACTCTCAGAATTCCCCAGCCAGCATCACCCTCTTTTAAAATCCCCCTTTGATGACTGAATAACAGTATAAAACAGTGTTTCTCAACCTTGACCATTTTAAGGCATGTGGACTTCAACTCCCAGAATTCCACAGCCAGCGTTGCTGGCTGTGGAATTCTGGGAGTTGAAGTCCACATGCCTTAAAATGGTCCAGGTTGAGAAACACTGGTATAAAAGAATGACAGAGTTGGAAGGGACCTTGGAGGTCTTCTAGTCCACCCTCTGCTCAGGCAGGAAGCCCTATTCCATTTCAGACAAGTCTCTTCTTAAAAGCTTCCAGTGTTGGAGCATTCACCGCCTCTGGAGGCAGGTTGTTCCACTGGCTAATTGTTCTCACTGTCAGGAAGTTTCTCCGTAGTTCTAGCTTGCTTCTCTCCTTGGTTAGTTTCCATCCGTTGCTTCTTGTCCTGCCTTTAGATGCTTTGGAGAAGAGCGTGACTCCCTCTTCTTTGGGGCAGCCCCTCAAATACTGGAAGGCTGCTATCCTGTCCCCCCTCATCCTTCTCTTCATTAAACTAGACATCCCCAATTCCAGCAACCTTTCCTTATATGCTTTAGCCTCCAGTCCCCTGATCATCTTTGTTGCTCTTCTCTGCCCTCTTTCTAGAGTCTTTTTTTACATCTTTTTTACATTGTGGCGTTCCTCCCTCTTGATATTTGCAGGACCATCCTCTTCACGGATCCCCAGCTTAAGAAGAGCCAAAGTCCTTCATAAAATACCAGATTCCATATTTTTGCGGTATAGTTTCTCTTCGTGTTTAAAACTTTAGCAACTCTTTTCTTGCAGAAGTTGTGCTGACTTACACAAAAGCATGAAACCAAGTGCTGGTTTCATCAGTGCTGGAAGGAAGGGGGGTTTGCAGAGTGGAGGAAGGAGAAGAGGAGGAGGAGGAGGAGGAGGAGGAGGAGGAGGAAGAAGAGGAGGAGGAGGACCACTGTTAGCTCCTTGGTGCTCTCTGAGCTGGCTTGTTTTCTTGCAGACATTACATGGCCCAAGTAGGTGACGTTGTCAATGCTAGGAGGGAGGGGAGTTTGCAGGGATGGGGGGGGATGAGGAGGTGGTGGAGGACAACCCTGGGGTCCTGGGTGCTCTCTGAGCAGGGTTATTTTCTTGCAAACGTTTCATGACCCAACTAAGTAACATCATCAGTGATAGGTAGGATAAATGCTTGCGGAAAGGAAAGACTTTCAAGGGGAGACTGACTGGGATGCTGGAAAAGCTCTTGCAAAATGGAGGTTCAAGGGCTCTGGAGGGCTCTGGAGGGAAGAGCAGTTCAGCTGTGGAACCGATGAGCAAAGGAGGTTTTCATTTCCTTTTTGCAGGATGTAATAATGATGATGATGATGTTGATGATGTTGTTGTTGTTGTTGGAAGGGACCTTAGAGGCCATCTAGTCCAACCCCCTGCTCAGGCAGGAAACCCTATACCAGGGATAGGCAACCTTGGCCCCTTCATGACTCCTGGACTTCAACTCCCAGAATTCCTGAGCCAGCATGGGGGAACTATGGCCCCTTCATGACTCCTGGACTTCAACTCCCAGAATTCCTGAGCCAGCATGGGAGAACTTTGGCCCCCTCATGACTGGTGGACTTCAACTCCCAGAATTCCTCAGCCAGCCTGGCTCAGCTTGGAAACCTCTCCCTTTCCCCTCAGCATGGCTGGCTCAGGAATTCTGGGAGTTGAAGTCCACGAGTCATAAAAAACCCCAGGTTCCCCACCCCTGAGAAATGGTGTCTTCTGTCGGAAGGCCTCTGCAGCAAAGAACCGAGCTATGGATACTCAGCTTCCTAGGCCAGGGGTCTGCAACTCTGGCTCTTTTATGACTCGTGGACTTCAACTCCCAGAATCCCTGAGCCAGCCATGCTGAGGGGGCCATAGTTCCCCCATGCTGGCTGAGGAATTCTGGGAGTTGAAGTCCACGAGTCATAAAGGGGCCATAGTTACCCCATGCTGGCTGAGGAATTCTGGGAGTTGAAGTCCCCCAGTCATAAAAGAGCCCAGGTGGCCTAGCCCTGAGCTGGACCATTTTAGACTAGCAAAAATGTGACGAAACATCGGTTGGAGGGCCATCAATCTGGGGGATGTTTTCATTTCGAATTTGCGCACTGAATCCAGCAGGGAGACATGTTGGCTGAAATGGACTCTCCCAACCCTGGGTTCTATATTTAGCTTTAACTCTCATCGCTTGCAAGCTTGGCTGAGAGCCGGGAGTCGTTTGAAAGCCCTGCGGGGGTGCAGTCGCCCTGTTCTTCTAAGGTGCGTCCCCAGAACGGCTGGTGCCTGGAAACCTGCCCTTCCTGTTCTGCCTTCTGGCCTGGCAGCGCTCCTCAGCCTGCTGGAGCTTGTGTTTCTTTCCCCACTGGGGGGGGAGAGGGCTGCACTTACGCTTTTCCCACCCCCTCCTTGATTGGCTGGAGGGCAGATTCCCAGGGGAATCGCCTTATCTTGGGCACGGCTGAGCTCCACGGCTGATTGACGCTCAGCCTTCTGCTTCAGAGCAGGAACTGGGGGAGACTC